CCCCTGCGCACTCTCTCGCTCTCAGACTGGTTATCCTCTTCCTCTTGTGGAGACAGCAGCTGTGTCCCCCAACCCCGCTCCAGCAGCACCCGCACCTCCCACAGCCAGATGAGTGTGACCCCGTGGTCGCTCAGCGCTGCCACTTGCCCCACACTGAGGCTATGCACAGCCCTAGCAATCCTGTGAAGCCATGTCGTTTCTGCTTTCATTGATGGAGGAGGAAGCTGAGGCTCGGAGGCCTAAAGTTAGGTGCCAAGGTCACTCAGAGTAAGCCCGGGAGCTCAGAGCGTACCCACGTCTGACTCCAGTGTCTGAACGCTCAACCTCTGTTTCCTTACCTATGAAACAGGAATTTCCCCAGGACCCTTGTGGGGTATTTTATCTAAAATAAGGTCCTTATTTGGAGGCTTAGGGAAAGTGCTTTATTACCTGAAAATGACCTACATGCTCCAAGCCAAAGGGACTCTCTGGGCTCACCCACCTTCTGAATTATTGTGGTGAGTCCAGCAGCCCAAGTTGCTACTCTTACCCCTGCTGTGTGACCCTGAGTTAGTTACTTTCCCTCTCTGGGCTTGGGTCTCCCTATCTGTCCACTGAGGAAATGGTGTCCCAGCCTCCCAGGGGATGGGGGCTGCTAAGGTGGCACAACCCACCACTCTGAGGTGCTCAGAGCCCTGGGGTGAGGAATGCTCATGCCCATCCGTGTTGAGAGACGGGGCGGCCCTGGACTCCAGGCTCCAGCCAGCATAGGGGTGCCTGCCCGAGTGGGTCCCAGAGCGCTCCAGGACTGTCTGTGCTGTCTAGTGGCTGCTAGTCCCATGTGGCTACTCGTGATTAATTTTAAATTAATTGAAATGATACAAGGTCAGGTGCTGTAATCCTAGCACTTTGGAAGGCTGAGACAGGAAGATCATTTGAGCCCAGGAGTTCAAGACCAGCCTGGGCAACATAGTGAAACCCTGTCTCTACAAAAATTACAAAAATTAGAGCTGGGCACAGTGACTCACGCCTATAATCCCAGCATTTTGGGAGACTGAGGCGGGCGGATCACCTGAGGTCAGTAGTTCGAGACCAGCCTGGCCAATATGGTGAAATCCCGTCTCTACTAAAAATACAAAAATTAGCCAGGCTGTGGTGGTACGCGTAATTCTAGCCATCTGGGAGGCTGAGGTGGGAGAATCCCTTGAACCTGGGAGGCAGAGGTTGTAGTGAGCCGAGATCATACCACTGTGATACGATGGAACCTTCTGTGTTCCGTTCACACCCCCCACTTTTCACATGGCCCAAGGCTGTTTCACTGCCCAGTGCGGTATAGAGCTCGGGTGGTGACAATGTAGCCCCGCCCCTCCCCCCA